CTATAAGCCTCGTCAGGAGGCAGGATAAGACAAGGTATGCTGGTGTCAGTAAGGCCCGGTTCAAACCCCTCCAAAGACATTACCCCTGAGCTGTGCACAAGTTAATGAACCTCTCCGAGCCTCAAATCTAATTGAAGGGATGAATTATCAGGAGCACTAACCTGGCTGCATTGCGTGACAATCAAAAGGAGAATGTTGGTGCTGTATAAATGCTGAATAGATGCCAAACATCATGGGATACTTATTAGCTTGAATGCTTTAACCAAGAGACTGGTTACAAAAAATTGGCCATTAAAGACTACTACAAGTTACACAAGTATTCTGTTTAAAAAGAGTTGATGTTATATTTCTTAAAAACAAGAATGCTATATATAAAACAGTCAAAATGTCATTGTACTTCTAGAAAATATTTTACATCATACCCACAGTAACATACTAAGACTTTGCTGGCTTGTAACTTTCAATCTAGGAAATGAAGACAGAAGCTGATGGAAAATGTGTCAGCCCTCATCAAGACCAATGAATCTGTGTCTTCATGAACAATTTGGTAGGAACCACATGAATGATTTGAGCTAGTTTCTAGAAGGACTGATTGGTAGCCAAAATCAGATTTTAGGAGTCATACTCAAAGACCAAAGGAAAAGAAGAGTATAGTAAGGAAGGGAAGAAATTTAATCCTAACTAGAAAAACAATTATTATAACAAGCAGTTCCAGCAGTTCAAACATATTTAGATGTAAGATTACTCCCCAAAACCCTTTTAACTGCTTCACTTAAGAGCTAAGGATTTGAAAAACATCCAAAAATGTTTCACATGAAGAAATTTTCTCCTATAAAACACCCAATGTCATTTTTTTAATGGAAATCCTTTTGAAGTGTGCCCCCCAACACATTTTAAAAAATAGTATAATAAACACAATTTATCATTTTATTGTTGACTCTGAGTCATCAGCTGTAATGTTTAAGACTGAGTTATATGGGACTTTTTATCCCTATAGGAAACGGATCAGAATTAGGTCTAATACCTGCCTTTTTACAGTTTATACTTCCCTCAGTTGCTTTTCTACCCAATTTTTTCTGATCTGTATAACCCCAAACTGCCAGAATTACATAAAGTACAACCAGGCCAATCAAATATAAGCACTATATATAACATGAGACCTTCTGAAGTCTAGCTTGCCTTCTCAGGTTTCCTTTGCTTAATTTTTGATTATATCCTGAGTAAGTGAAAGCTTATTGACTAGGTAAAGTTGTGGTATTCACTTCAATAACTTTCACTCTAATTATATCCATGAAATGTTAGTAGGAAGTTATGATGAAAGACAAAAACAAATTCCAAGTCCTAAGTGAAATTATCTGCATTATTGTTTTATTGTGGCACAGGATTTAGTCTGAGTTATTTGTTAAAAGTTCTGGTAGTTTCCAAATCAAACTGGACAGATAGGCCCAATGACAAAGTCAGTTATTAGACAACCAGTCTAGATAATTTGAGAATTTTTAGGCCAATGCTCAAAGACTAAGTTTGGGAAATTATTTAATTGGCATGGGGTGAGGGAGTGCCAGCAGTTATAAAATCATGGATTCTTATAGTTTCAATTAACACAGCCATTTACAAAAAAAACTTACAGGTTAACCGTCTTTCTGTTCTCCACAGGATTATGGTTTCCAATAATTAACTTTTATGTATAAATCAGGATAGCATAAGCAAAGAGTGTATGAAATTGAAACTGTCAGCATGATAGGGGAAAAAAATGAATGGAACCTGCTATGAGCTGAGCAGGGAGTTAGGTGCCGTTATCTTCTACAACTGAGGGAAAGTGTGGAACATCATAAGCAAAAGCATAGTAAAAAAAAAAACATTAAGATTAATGTTAAATATAAGAATTCTGCATGGTAAAGATAACCCAAAGTAACAATGATTTTTTGCTCTTGTTTTCTGCAAGTTAGAGAATTCACCAAAATGAATGCGTAACAGGCTTTTTTCAGATCTCAGTAAGCTAAGTCACTATGACCAAAAATCCCCATATCTTCTACCTGTTGTCCAGTCATGTCTGATTCTTCATGATCCCATTTGGGGCTTTCTTGCCATTTCCTTCTCCAGCTCATTTGACAGACAAGAAAACTGAGGCAGACACAGTTCAGTGACTTCCCCAGGGGTGGTCACACACAGCCAGTTTCTGAGGCCAGATCTGCACTCAAAGTTGAGTCTTCCTGACTCCAGCCAGGTACTCTACCCACTAGCTGCCTCATTTTTTACATATAAATGGTCAACTGCACACTTCCCCTCGCCCTAACCCAACCCCCCCATACCACCCCCCCTCCAAGGACTTGCTCTGCATAGCAACCAAGTCTTCCTGAGCCACTGGTACCACCTGCTGGCTGCCACTGAGAACTGATTCTACCAACCCTTCCAAGACCTACCCCCCCCCCAGTTCATAACTTTCTTCCCCTGTTTACAACTCTGTTAGTTCCACCTTGGGAAACTTCTCACAGGGAATTTCAGGGAAGTTCCTTCTATGGGCCAAATAGGCAAGCCTAATCAGTCATCTCCCAACTAGTATTACTAGCTTACTTTTACACAGCCCCTAAGATTTACACAGCACATTACCTTCAAAATAAATAATAAAACTGAGAGTGAAGTTTAATTAGCAATAGCACGACGTTATGAGTACTATAGATTTTCGTGGGTCAGGTCAGACAAGTCTTTCAATAAGGAAACATTCTGTAAACATAATCGAAACAAATGAAAAATTAACTTTTGGAGTAAACAGAGGACACTTCCTGCACCTGATTATGTACTCTACACACAGGGAGGTTACAGGAGATTTTTTTAAAAAGCTACAGATGATGTAATGATAGAGAAATTGCATTTATCTGCTATCTTTCCCTACCTCTACGAACATCCCATCCCACACAAGTGCACAAATTCAGACTCCTTATAAGGTGTTCTTGGACACCTTATACAGTCCCCTACTAGGTTCAGGATTTTTTCCACTTGCCAATTAACTACACTCTGTTTCATCAACTTGTCAGAGATTGAGAATGTTCTTTAGTGTCTAAAATTGTACTGCAATGTCAGCCTGGATGTCATGATTAAGATGTGATTTTACCTGTAAACAGTTAACATCTCACACAAAGATTACAGAATTCACCTTCAACTACCTAGCACACAACACAGAAGTAGGAAAGCGGCAAAGGCCTTAGAATATCTGAAATAGATGTCAACTCAAAACCTTCTATCCTGGCTCCCTGGTCTGCAAACCTACCACATATTAGAAACTCTGCCTCCTTCCAAGTTCTTCCCCCACCCCAACTCTGGTTCTCAGTTTGTAGCTTAGAGTCTAACTAAGAACTTTGACAACACCAAGAAATGCTAATCCCTGACACTGAAGGAGATGAAAGAAAAGAACTCAAAACGGCAGAACCGTCTTGGGCCTCTTATTATTGAGATAAAGAGCCCTACGAAATTTAATTGCTTTCGAAAATACATATATAAACATATGTTTAAAATGTTTGCTTCTTAAGAATAATCCTCATTTATCTGGAAAACTCTTGGGGCTGAAGAAATGAAAGGCTTTTCTTATTACGATTTTTACTCTTTTCTAAGTAAGCACTTTTACTCTTAGCAGTATTTTAAATAATTAGAATTCATCAAAATCTTCTATAATGTAGAAGTTTCTTAACACTGGAGTAGAGCCTTTGAAAAATTTATTGTAACAATTTTAACCACCTGAGAGTTTATGTTCTAAGTTGCATTGAGATGCATTTCTAAAGCTCTTTTTTGGGCTAAAAGGTATAGTTAACATCTCTCTTTTTAAACCAGACATTAAGGAAAGCAGAAATCTTTCCTCTCAGAATACTACTTCATAACTTTTGTACCTAGGATTACAGAAATTTCCATCAGGCTTTCTATAGACTAAAGTTTTAGCAAAACTTAGTTTTTCTAGTAATCTTTTCCCACACAAATTATTTTATCTCTAGAATCCTTTAGCACACTGAGAACATTGTTCTTCTTGAAAAGGACAACCAATAAAATCTCAGGTATTTCTGAAAATAAAATAAACTCTACAAAAATAAACTCACTAATTCTTAGGTGTTTCTGAAACGAAACTCAGGTAATAGACTCACTCAAGTACCACCATAGAGTAACGTGGTTACTATAGCAAAGGCAATAACTACCATAATCGTGCACTTAGTATGACTCCTTATTGTGGCACTCTGGATAAAACGGCTAGTAAAAAACCCCAAACCCTAAGAATCCAGAGGCTTAAGCGAATTTGTATCACTACAAACCAGAATAAGTGTTCATGATTTTTAGGTTTCTCAAAACAGTTGTTCTCGGCTCCTGACAGTACGGAACAGTGTGGCATTTTAAACTGGAAAGAAACGTCGGTTCGCAAGAGCCAGCACCATCTCCCCAGCCCAACAAACACCCATACAAAACATTTAGGGCGCTATCTGGCAGCTCCCCTCCCCCCTGTCCTCTATCCACCTTGCGATTACAGTCTTTCAGCACTCATCTTCCCCACCAAATCACAAATGGTCGCGATCAAATGGGAAGGAAGTTGCTCGTGGGAGGCGGTGCACGACGTTTGTCAAAACTATAATCGACAATTAAAAAAAATAAAAGCAGCCCCCCGCCGCCTGGTGAGCGCCCCCAACGAGCTAATTTCACTGTGTCCATAACCTAGAACTGGAGGCATCTCGGAAAGGGAACGCGCGGGGTGGGGGCGGGGGCGTGGGGAAGACAAAGGACGCGGCTCACACACCTCCACGGAGCCCATTTACACATAAAATGCGGACAACGCCATGCACCGCCCGCGCGCACGCGGCTCGGCGGTGGGGGGGGGGTCTGTCCCCGGAGTTGGGGGATGAGGCCGGGATTTCCGCCAGCCCCGGGAGGGTCGGCGGGGTGCAGGGCGACCCTTCCTAACGGGTCCCTTTGTTCCCTCCCCCCGCACGAGGCCCGGGCCGCCCGGCGGGGGACGGGGGCGCGCCCACCTCGTCCTCCTGCTCGCTGCGGAAGCACAGGCAGGCCGCCCGCTTCTTGAAGCCCTCGCGGTCGTAGGTCCTCGTCTGGTTCGGCTTGAACTTCATCATAGAGGCGGATTCCTCCTCCTTCTCCTCCCGCCGGGGCTCGGCCGCCGCCAACCCGTCCGAAGGCGCGGGGAAGGATGCGAGGGAAAGAGGGAGGAGGGAGGAAGGAAGAGATGGAGGGAAGAGGGGGGAAGGAGCGAGCGTCCGAGGGCCGGAGCCGAGGCCGGGGCCGAGGGGACGAGCGAGCGAGAGGCTGCTCCGGAGGCACTAGAGCCCGCGGGCCGGGGAGGCTGCGCCGCTGCTGCCGGAGAAGCCGCGCCTCGCCATGGAGCCCGCCCGCCGGCCGCCTCGTCTCTCCGTCCCACCGGCCGTCCGACGCTCGCCGCTCGCCGCCTCCAGGCACTCGAGTCAGGCGCCTCGTGACCACCGCGGACGGTTGGCAGCTCGCGCCGCGGCTCCTCCCTCGCGGCGGCGGCGGCGGCGGCGCTGGCACTGCGGGCGGACGGCTCGCGCTCGCTCTTTCCCTGCGCTCGCGCCTCGCTCTCGCTCTCGCGCTGGCTCCTCCGCCGAGGCTTCTCGCGCTCGTTCACTCTCCCTCTGCCTCCGCCCCGCCCCCTTACGCCCGCCGCCACGCCCCTGCCTTCCCGTCTCGGGCGCGAGACTCCTCCTCGCGTGCACGGGATTGGCCCGGATGCCGAAACCGCGCTCCTCCCCCCTCCTAAACCGAACCTCGCCTTCCCTAGGCGCGAGGCGACCTAACTAGGTCCCGCCTTCTCCCCCCCCTTTTTTTATTGAACTTGGCCAGAAGCCTGCGTGCTGCACTTGCGCCTGCGCCCTAAAGCGATTGGAAGAGGGGAAGGCGGGGCTAGACGCAGCTGGGCTGAGGAGGCGGGTCCTGGAATGGACAGCCCGCGGCGAGCGCGCGCATATCTGCTCTTGGGGGACGGCTGGCGGGCTGTGGAGGGGGCGCGGGGTCTGACCTGAAGAGAGCCGTGGAAAAAGCTAGCTCCGTGTGCCTATGGTGGGCCTAGCCCTGGAGAAAAGCATGACAATCTTTGCCCTCTAGCGGCTCACATGTTAGTCAGGTCAAGGCACGTTTATAAAGTGCCTACTACGTGCAAGAGAAACACTATGCCTTAATGGAGAGACAGCTAGGCCTCCAGGAGGTCAAGTGCCTACTGTGTGCAAGCGTGCTTTCCTGGAAAGAGAGCTAGGTCTCAAGCAAGTCAACCAGTATTTATTTAAAAGCACCCAACACGTGCCAGGCAATGTAACAGCTAAGGATACAAAGAAAGGCAATAAAAAAATGCCATTACTCTCCAATGAGGGTAAGCTGCACTCTCCTCAGTTCTGGAAATTATGTTTAATTTCAACTCAATTGGTGCAGTATTTATTAAGCACTTATCTGCAAGAGAAGCAGAGAATCTTAGTGAGGTAAGAGCTAGGCTTCGGTGAAGTCAACAAGCGTTTAAGGACCTACTTTGTGTTGGCATTGTCAGTGTTGGGGGGACAAAGAAAGGCCCCCCCAAAATGATTGTGCCCTCGAGGAGCTAGCTGTCTAGTGGGGGTAAGCAATTTTTTACTTATTTTTGTAAATTGTGTTTTATTTCAACTCAATTTGTGGAGCATTTGTTAAGTACCTACTAAGTACAAGACAGGCAGTGTGTCTGTAAAAAGAGCTAGGCCTCAGTTAAGTCAACAAGCATTTATTAAGTGCCTACTATGTACCAGGCACACACATTGTGTGCTAAGTGCTAGAAATGCAAGGAAAGGCCAAAACAAACCTCGGTAGCCTTTAGATCATATAAACATACAGACACCTAACTCAGTCGACCAAAGAGCATTAATTACAGGCATACTATGTGCCAGGTAAGGGCAGCTAGGTGGCAAAATGGAGAGAGTGCCAGCCCTGGAATCAGGAAGACCTGAATTCAAATCCAGCCTCAGATTCTTACTAGCTGTGTGACCCTGGGCAAGTCACTTAACCCTGCTTGCCTCAGTTTCCTTGTCTGTTAAATGAGCTGGAGAAGGAAATGGCAACACCAAAAACAACAATGCACCAGGTACGGCGAATACTAGAGCCCTTCTCCAAACATCAAATATCTGACTTTCCAATAGCAAACCTAAAAATGCCATCTTTCTAGGGATGCCCACCACTGAATAAGCTCTCTGGAAGTTAGATACAAGTAGGGAAATGCTAGGAGGTTGAATCCCATCCCTCCCCCATTACACTGCCTCAGTCGAGTCCAAATACCAAGTCATTTATGTAGGGGAAGTTGATGAGCAAGGCTTAAGGGAAGGAGCTGAAGTATGGCTGGGACCTTTGCAATGCCAACCTTGAAATATGTATTACTGGTGTAGTTTGAAAAAAGTGGAAGCAAAGGCAAATTCAATTGAATTTGACAAGCATTTGTCAAGTGCTATATACCAAGCCCTGTATTTGCTTCTGAAGATACAAAAACAAAAACAAAAAGCCCCTGCCCTTAAGAAGCTTACATTCTACTCAGGATAATTATAGTTTCTAATGAAAGCGATTTTAAGCAAGGAATATAAGCTTCATGAAGGCTCTGCTACCTATGCTACTTTGAGCAAGCCTTGGTTAATAGTAATACTGGTTCACTCATTTCAGTTGTATCTGATTCTTCATGACCCCATTTGAGGTTTTCTTGGCAAAGATACTGGAGTGGTTTGCCATTTCCTTCTCCAGCTTATTTGACAGATGAGGAAACTGAGGCAGAGTTAAGTGACTTGCCCAGGGTCACCCAACTAGTAAGTGTCGAAGGCTGGATTTGAACTCTGGACTTTCAGACTACAGGCCCAGTGCCCTAATAATAATAATAACATAATAATAATAATCATAAGTACAATAGCTAATAGGTATATAGTCCTTACTATGTACCAGGTACTGTGTACTTTACAATTATTATTTCATTTGATCCTCACAGCAACCCTGAGAGATAGGTGCTACTATTCCCATTTTACAGATGAGGAAACTGAGGCAAATGAGTTAAGCAGTTAGCCCCAGGGTCTTGGGAGGCTGGACTTAAACTTGACCCTTTATCTATTGCAGCACCTTGCTGCCCCAGTTTCTCTGGGCCTGTAAAACTGAAGGGTTTGAATTCGGTGGTCTTTTACAGCTCTCGATCCTTGGGGTTATTATTAGGGTTGTGAGTTACGAGGAGACTTCATGTTCCTCCCCAGACTAGCATGGCAGCAAGTGGAGAAATAGTTGTTTAATGAATGGGCATTTCCAGTGTTAAAAATGTGGGGTGTACCTATCTAATTAGAGACTCTGTGCTCATTTACTCACCTAACCTGGCATTTCTAGAGGATAGGTACCAACTGATTAAAGACTGATTTTGTAAGATAATTAATCTGATTAATTATAGGATCATGCAGTGAAGGTGAAAGGGAACTTAGAATTCCAGCAAGCTCTTACCCTCCCTTTTCATTGATGAAGCTACCCTTTGATAGGGTAACTGACTTGCCCAAGATCACACAGAATAGGATTTTTAAAGTGTTTAAACATTTTAAAGAAAAATAACAAGTATTTTATTAATCTGTCACTCCCACTATGCCCTCCTCCCCCCAACCTTGAGGAATTTATTTTTAATTCCTCCATATGTATTTATATAATCTGACAAAACCAAATCCCCACATTAGCCATATCTGAAAATGTATGTATATTTCTGCATTTTTACTTCATCACCTCTCTGTCAAGAAGTGAGGAGGCAATTTCATCTTTGTTCTTTTGGACTCCTGCTTTGTCATCCCATTGAATAGAGTTTTAAAGTCTTCCAAACTTCTTTTTCACGGAACAAGGATTAGAATCTGGCTCCTCCAATGAACACCAAATTCAAGGCCTTCCCAAGGACATCACAAGATTAAACTATCTTTTTATGAATAGCAGCAGCATTTCTGCTATTTTTCAGACAATACTTTTGTGACTTCATAATTCTGATAAAGAAGAGCAATTATTTTTATCACATGCCTCCTGAAAAAAAAATCTACTTTTGGCATCTATAAACACCCCTGCTTTGCATAGTGAAATATTCCCTAAAAGTCAGGTTCAAAAAAAAATTGCTCATTCCACATGCCTTTATAATGTCTAGACCACAGTAGACACTTAATAGATGCTTATTGGTGGTGGATTGCTTAATCGCTACCTCATTTGAATTATAATGGCAGAGGTATTATGGACGTTCCTTATTGAGTTTTTGTTTTTGTTTTTGTTTTTCACTAGTAATGGCTTCTAACACTAGTTTAAGCTTCCCTGATACCTTTCCTTGCCAATCTTTCAATGACATAGTTTAATGATTTAGAAACAAACACATACATGAGGAAATACTTGTATCAAAGCTTCTGACACTTCATGGTATGTATAGGGATACGGTTGGTGGATTGAATGGGAAATAAAGGAATGATTGAGTTCTCCCCTCACTTAAGCAAGCAGCAAGCATGTATTAAATGCCCACTATGTGTCATAAACTGTGCTAGGCACTAGGGATAAAAATATGAAACTCAGATAGATGATCCCTACCCTGGTGAACCTTATATCATTTTAGGGGGAATATAACATTTAGGGAATGGTGGCTGGGGAAAGGAATTTGGGTCCGAGCAGTCACAGGGATGGTTGGGGGAGCCACAGCTTAATAGATTGCCGTGTCCTTTGCCATGGCGATGATAATATTGATTTGATTGTTGTTCTCTGAGCAAGAGGTGGGAGAGGAGGTGGAACCAATGTGGGTAGGGAAGTGTGGGCAGATAGTCCGAAGCCTGTATCTGTAAGTAGGCATCCTGGTGGATGGCTGCTGGATGGGGTGGAAGATGGTACGAGTCAGTCCCCAGCTGGGTTTGCCATATGGATGACATACAGCATGAGTGTGTGAACGTAGGGGACAAATGCAGACATTACGCCCCTTCTCTCTCCCTGGATTCCAGTTTTTTTCAGTGAAATATTCTTGGGGAATGCTGTCATTTCCCTCCCCATTGTACTTCCAAGCTGAGAAAAGCAACCAGGGTACTCTGTGCATGTGAAATAATAATAGCTGATATTGCCATAACTCTGTTAAGGTTTGCATGACACTTTCCATACATTATCACTTTTAAATTTCATCACCACCCTGTAAAGTCTATTATAGGTATTATTATCCCTGGTTTTAGGTATTTGGGTGACAGACCTTATCCACCATGCCATAGTGCCTAAATGGAAAATTGGGGAGATTTAGATGTGGGATGACCCAGCTGATGTAGGTTTGTGGTATGGCAAAAAGCATTTGGAGTCGGAGGACCTCAGTTTACATCCTCATTCTGTTCTCACCTGTGTGACCTTAAGCAAATCGCTTAACCTCTCTGAGCCTCAGTTCTTCATCTGTAAAATGATAGGATCAGATCAGATAGATGGCCGCTTTTTAGCTCTAGACCCATGATCCTGTAATTAATTGTTTTGTAAAATAATCGATACTTTTATAATATGAATAATCACCCCCTAATTTATT